TGTATAGATATATCCAGGGTTTACCTGTGTATAAAGAGATCCAGGGTTTACCTGTGTATAGAGATCCAGGGTTTACCTGTGTAGAGATCCAGGGTTTACGTGTGTATAGAGATCCAGGGTTTACCTGTGTATAGATCCAGGATTTACCTGTGTATAGATCCAGGGTTTACCTGTGTATAGAGAGATCCACTGTTTACCTGTGTATCGAGAGATCCAAGGTTTACCTGTGTATAGAGAGATCCAGGGTTTACTAGTGTATAGAGATCCAGAGTTTACTTGTGTATAGAGAGATCCATGGTTTACCTGTGTATAGATAGATCCAGGGGTTTACCTGTGTATAGAGATCCAGGGTTTACCTGTGTATAGATAGATCCAGGGTTTACCTGTGTATAGAGATCCAAGGTTTACCTGTGTATAGAGTGATCCAGGGTTTACCTGTGTATAGAGATCCAGGGTTTACTTGTAAACCTTTACCAAGATATTTAGGGTTATTTCCTGTTATATAATTGTATATCCCCCCCCCTCCCTTCCCTGGCTGAAAGGATTCAGCGAACATTAACGCAGCAACTAACGAAACATTTACATCTTTTCTCAGTCATTGTGGCTTTGTTTATTTAACTTTGTTTTAATATTTATTAATAATAATAATTAATAATATTACTAATATAATTATTAGTAATATTAAACTTTGTTTAATATTTATCAATAATAATAAATTAGTAATATTAAATTCTGTTTAATATGTATTAATAATAATAAAGTAGTAATGTTAAACTCTTTTTAATATTTATTAACAATAATAAATTAGTAATATTAATCTGTTTATATTTATTAGCCCCCGATGCTGTACGAGGCTGTTTACAGCAATAATGACCTCGGGCTGCCTCGTTTAGAAGCTCGAAGACTGTTTACTAAATATCAATAAAGTCGCCATAATTGAGAAAAGATGTTGATAAGTGGTTGTATAAATGCATCATGCAGCCCGTCCTCCAAAGGTTTTCCCAACGTCAAGAAACTGTCGTATTAAAGTGCCCTTATCCTAACCTACCAGAGGACCCAAAACAGAAAACGGGACAGTATGTCAATTTCCGCCAGCCGTTACCATTTTCTAGTATGACGAGTTTTGGCCTAGGGGTGTACGTCAAAATGCGACGTTCTATTAGGAGGGCGAGTTGTATCATAAATCCTAATGCTGTATTTTGTAATATTATTTTTTTTTTTATTAACATGGTTTGACCCAGTGATTTTTTTTATTGCAGCTATATTTCCTATATTTGTTTTTTTTATGGGCTACTCATGCCCATGCCACCACTGGGTGGCTTAGTCTTCACCATCAATCAATCTATAGCTGCAGCTATCCTTCCTATATTTGCAGCTATCCTTCCTATATTTGCAGCTATCCTTCCTATATTTGCAGCTATCCTTCCTATATTTGCAGCTATCCTTCCTATATTTGCAGCTATCCTTCCTATATATGCAGTTATCCTTCCTCTATTTGCAGCTATCCTTCCTCTATTTGCAGCTATCCTTCCTCTATTTGCAGCTATCCTTCCTATATTTGCAGCTATCCTTCCTCTATTTGCAGCTATCCTTCCTATATTTGCAGCTATCCTTCCTATATTTGCAGCTATCCTTCCTATATTTGCAGCTATCCTTCCTATATATGCAGTTATCCTTCCTCTATTTGCAGCTATCCTTCCTCTATTTGCAGCTATCCTTCCTATATTTGCAGCTATCCTTCCTGTATTTGCAGCTCTCTTTCCTATATTTGCAGCTATCCTTCCTATATTTGCAGCTATCCTTCCTATATTTGCAGCTATCCTTCCTATATTTGCAGCTATCCTTCCTATATTTGCAGCTATCCTTCCTATATTTGCAGCTATCCTTCCTGTATTTGCAGCTCTCTTTCCTATATTTGCAGCTATCCTTCCTATATTTGCAGCTATCCTTCCTATATTTGCAGCTATCCTTCCTCTATTTGCAGCTATCCTTCCTATATTTGCAGCTATCCTTCCTCTATTTGCAGCTATCCTTCCTATATTTGCAGCTATCCTTCCTGTATTTGCAGCTATCCTTCCTGTATTTGCAGCTATCCTTCCTGTATTTGCAGCTATCCTTCCTATATTTGCAGCTATCCTTCCTATATTTGCAGCTATCCTTCCTATATTTGCAGCTATCCTTCCTGTATTTGCAGCTATCCTTCCTGTATTTGCAGCTATCCTTCCTATATTTGCAGCTATCCTTCCTGTATTTGCAGCTATCCTTCCTATATTTGCAGCTATCCTTCCTATATTTGCAGCTATCCTTCCTGTATTTGCAGCTATCCTTCCTGTATTTGCAGCTATCCTTCCTATATTTGCAGCTATCCTTCCTGTATTTGCAGCTCTCTTTCCTATATTTGCAGCTATATTTCTTATATTTGTATTTATATTTCCTATATTTACAACTATATTTCCTGTTCATTATTATGTTCCCATTTTCCTTGAACTGACAGTATATAGTAGAATAATATTGGCTTCCACCCTTACTTTGAAGTATATAATGCCATATTATTACTTATATTTCCTGTGACTGTACATATTATCACATATCCTCACTGATGAAAATATTTCAGATATAACAATTAAATAACAAAGATGTACCAACAAATAACAGACACACGAGAACAATAAAATCACAGACACATGTAATAATAAAATGAGAAAGGTAAATGCAACAACAACAAACAAAGACAAACATGACAATAAAATAAACAAATATGACAATAAAATAACAGACGAATATGACAATAAAATAACAGACAAATATGACAATAAAATAACAAAGACAAACGTAACAATTAAACAACAATGATGTGACAACAAATAACAATGACAACATACTGTCCTCAGAGCAAATCTATTACCATGAGCCCCCCCCCCCCCGCGCATTAAACCTCCTGGATAGTTATCTTAGATATATGTGATAGTCTGAAAGCATATTAGGGTTCCAGTAATAGTCCACATGTAAATTGGTAAGTAAAACTTTGTTGTAAACAGAGATTATTCTCAAATTGTAACTTTGTTGTACTATAAAGCGATGGTTTAAAATTGAAAAAAGTGTATGTTGAAAACGTTTTCTGTGAAAAATTTGGTTTTCTGTACAGAGTCACTCTCACAGTCTCTCTGAAATAGTTTTCGAATTCCATATTTCTCATTCTCGTCAATAATACACCACATTAACGTGACCAAACTTAATGAAACCTAACTTAACCAAACTAAACCTAACCAAATCTTAACTTAAAGTAACCTTAACCTAACCTAACCATGGATAGCGATTAGATAATAGTACAAATATTGATATCGTTCCCAATCCATTACTTTGAGCGGGTCTCCGCCCTGAGGACAGGTTGAACCATTTTCTCCCGCCTGTGTAGTGTAGTGAGAGCGAAGGTTGTAGTATTAGTGGTAATGGTAGTGGTAGGAACGTTAGCAGAAGCTGGCGTATACTGACACCAGACGTGGAGGTGACGGTGACCACCAACACTGACGGTGGCCACCATCAACACTGACGGTGGCCACCAACACTGACGGTGGCCACCAACACTGACGGTGGCCCCCAACACTGATGGTGGCCGGCAACACTGACGGTGGCCACCAACACTGACGGTGGCCACCAACACTGACGGTGACCACCAACACTGCCACCAACACTGACGGTGACCACCAACACTGACCACCAACACTGACGGTGGCCACCAACACTGACGGTGGCCACCAACACTGACGGTGGCCACCAACACTGACGGTGGCCACCAACACTGACGGTGACCACCAACACTGATGGTGGCCACCAACACTGACGGTGGCCACCAACACTGACGGTGACCACCAACACTGATGGTGGCCACCAACACTGACGGTGGCCGCCAACACTGACGGTGACCACCAACACTGATGGTGGCCACCAACACTGACGGTGGCCACCAACACTGACGGTGGCCACCAACACTGACGGTGACCACCAACACTGATGGTGGCCACCAACACTGATGGTGGCCACCAACACTGACGGTGGCCACCAACACTGACGGTGACCACCAACACTGACGGTGGCCACCAACACTGACGGTGGCCACCAACACTGACGGTGGCCACCAACACTGACGGTGGCCACCAACACTGACGGTGGCCACCAACACTGACGGTGGCCGCCAACACTGACGGTGGCAGCCAACACTGACGGTGGCCGCCAACACTGACGGTGGCCACCAACACTGACGGTGGCCACCAACACTGACGGTGGCCACCAACACTGACGGTGGCCACCAACACTGACGGTGGCGGTGACCACCAACACTGACGGTGGCCACCAACACTGACGGTGACCAACACTGACGGTGGCCACCAACACTGACGGTGGCCACCAACACTGACGGTGACCACCAACACTGACGGTGGCCACCAACACTGACGGTGGCCACCAACACTGACGGTGGCCACCAACACTGACGGTGGCCACCAACACTGACGGTGGCCACCAACACTGACGGTGGCCACCAACACTGACGGTGGCCACCAACACTGACGGTGGCCGCCAACACTGAACACTGACTGACGGTGGCCACCAACACTGACGGTGGCCCCCAACACTGACGGTGGCCACCAACACTGACGGTGGCCACCAACACTGACGGTGGCCCCCAACACTGACGGTGGCCACCAACACTGACGGTGGCCACCAACACTGACGGTGGCCACCAACACTGACGGTGGCCGCCAACCTGACCAACACTGACGGTGACCAACCAAACACTGACGGTGGCCACACTGAACACTGACGGTGACCACCAACACTGACGGTGACCACCAACACTGACGGTGGCCACCAACACTGACCACCAACACTGACGTGGCCACCAACACTGACGGTGGCCACCAACACTGACGGTGGCCACCAACACTGACGGTGGCCACCAACACTGACGGTGACCACCAACACTGACGGTGGCCACCAACACTAACGGTGGCCACCAACACTGAAGGCCACCAACACTGACGGTGGCCACCAACACTGACGGTGGCCGCCAACACTGACGGTGGCCACCAACACTGACGGTGGCCACCAACACTGACGGTGGCCACCAACACTGACGGTGGCCACCAACACTGAAGGCCACCAACACTGACGGTGGCCACCAACACTGACGGTGGCCACCAACACTGAAGGCCACCAACACTGACGGTGGCCGCCAACACTGACGGTGACCACCAACACTGACGGTGACCACCAACACTGACGGTGGCCACCAACACTGACGGTGGCCACCAACACTGACGGTGTCCACCAACACTGACGGTGGCCACCAACACTGACGGTGGCCACCAACACTGACGGTGTCCACCAACACTGACGGTGGCCACCAACACTGACGGTGGCCACCAACACTGACGGTGGCCACCAACACTGAAGGCCACCAACACTGACGGTGGCCGCCAACACTGACGGTGACACTGACGGTGGCCACCAACACTGACGGTGGCCACCAACACTGACGGTGGCCACCAACACTGAAGGCCACCAACACTGACGGTGGCCACCAACACTGACGGTGGCCACCAACACTGAAGGCCACCAACACTGACGGTGGCCGCCAACACTGACGGTGACCACCAACACTGACGGTGGCCACCAACACTGATGGTGGCCGCCAACACTGACGGTGACCGCCAACACTGACGGTGACCAACACTGACGGTGGCCACCAACACTGACGGTGACCACCAACACTGACGGTGACCACCAACACTGACGGTGGCCGCCAACACTGACGGTGACCAAACACTGACGGTGGCCACCAACACTGACGGTGGCCACCAACACTGACGGTGGCCACCAACACTGACGGTGGCCACCAACACTGACGGTGGCCACCAACACTGACGGTGGCCACCAACACTGACGGTGGCCACCAACACTGACGGTGGCCACCAACACTGACGGTGGCCACCAACACTGAAGGCCACCAACACTGACGGTGGCCGCCAACACTGACGGTGGCCACCAACACTGACGGTGGCCACCAACACTGACGGTGGCCACCAACACTGACGGCCACCAACACTGACGGTGGCCGCCAACACTGACGGTGGCCACCAACACTGACGGTGGCCACCAACACTGACGGTGGCCACCAACACTGACGGTGGCCACCAACACTGACGGTGGCCACCAACACTGACGGTGGCCACCAACACTGACGGTGGCCACCAACACTGAAGGCCACCAACACTGACGGTGGCCGCCAACACTGACGGTGACCACCAACACTGACGGTGGCCACCAACACTGAACCAACACTGACGGTGGCCACCAACACTGACGGCCACCAACACTGACGGTGGCCACCAACACTGACGGTGGCCACCAACACTGACGGTGGCCACCAACACTGAAGGCCACCAACACTGACGGTGGCCACCAACACTGACGGTGGCCACCAACACTGACGGTGGCCACCAACACTGACGGTGGCCACCAACACTTGTAATGACGGTGGCCACCAACACTGACGGTGGCCACCAACACTGAAGGTGGCCACCAACACTGACGGTGGCCACCAACACTGACGGTGGCCACCAACACTGACGGTGGCCACCAACACTGACGGTGGCCACCAACACTGACGGTGGCCACCAACACTGACGGTGGCCACCAACACTGACGGTGGCCACCAACACTGACGGTGGCCACCAACACTGACGGTGGCCACCAACACTGACGGTGGCCACCAACACTGACGGTGGCCACCAACACTGACGGTGGCCGCCAACACTGACGGTGGCAGCCAACACTGACGGTGACCACCAACACTGACGGTGGCCACCAACACTGACGGTGACCACCAACACTGACGGTGGCCACCAACACTGACGGTGACCACCAACACTGATGGTGGCCACCAACACTGACGGTGACCACCAACACTGACGGTGGCCACCAACACTGACGGTGACCACCAACACTGACGGTGGCCACCAACACTGACGGTGGCCACACTGACGGTGGCCACCACACTGACGGTGGCCACCAACACTGACGGTGGCCACCAACACTGACGGTGGCCGCCAACACTGACGGTGGCCGCCAACACTGACGGTGGCCGCCAACACTGACGGTGGCCGCCAACACTGACGGTGGCCGCCAACACTGACGGTGGCAGCCAACACTGACGGAACCCCAACACTGACAGTGGCCACCAAACCCTGACGGTGGCCACCAACACTGACGGTGGCCGCCAACACTGACGGTGGCCGCCAACACTGACGGTGGCCACCAACACTGACGGTGGCCACCAACACTGACGGTGGCCACCAACACTGACGGTGGCCGCCAACACTGACGGTGGCCACCAACACTGACGGTGGCCACCAACACTGACGGTGGCCGCCAACACTGACGGTGACCGCCAACACTGACGGTGACCACCAACACTGACGGTGGCCGCCAACACTGACGGTG